ACAATCTCTTATAACGCCAAGAGAAACAAGGAAAAATATTCCCAACAAAACAAATTACAACAAAGAATTAAGGAGCTAGAAACCCTTCTACAAAATAACCCAAAAGAACCCAAACTGCAAAATCAGATAAGTATAGCCAAACACAAACTGAATTTAATTGATCAAGAGAAAATGACTATGAATTTGAACTTAACCAGACAAATCTATTTTGAACATGCCAACAAGCCAGGAAGATGGCTATCTTATAAATTGAAAAAAAAAGAAAGAGAAGAGATTGATATACCAGTTAATAGATAGCAAAGGAGATACATACCAGGAAATAGAACAGAAAAAAGAAATCATTCATAAATACTTTGAAGATTTATACAAAAGAGAGGATGTCAGTGAAGATAGAATAAGGAATTATCTAGATGAAGTAAAGGATAAGGCAATTGGGGAAGAAATGGCTGAACTATTAAATAAAGACATTACTGAATCGGAATTGAAATCAGCAATGGAGAGCCAGAAAAATAATAAAACCCCGGGCCCAGACGGGATCCCAGGGGAGCTGTACAAGGCAATAGCAGATCAAATCGGACCACTTATGGTGGAAGTCTTTAATGATGTTTTACTGGCAGCGAGGATGCCGGACTCATGGAGAGGGGCGTTGATCTCGCTGATCCCAAAGGAGGATACAGATCCCAGATATATAAATAATTACAGGCCGATTTCACTTTTAAATACTGATTACAAAATATTCACACTTAAAATATTCACACATATGAAGAACAGATTAAAAAGGATCTTAAATTTGTATATACATGTAGACCAAAACGGATTTCTCCCAACTAGGCAAATAAAGAACAATTTAATAATAGTATTAGACGTACTAGAATTTTACGAAGCTCACCCTGAGAAACAAGTAGCACTTATGTTCCTAGACGCAGAGAAAGCTTTCGACAATCTAAATTGGCAATTTTTAATTCAAAAAATTTATAATTTGAATTTGGGCACCAAATTTGAAAATATTATAACAACTATATATGATACACAACAAGCTAATATAATAGTGAATGGGGAATGCACCCGCCCAATAAAGATAGAAAAAGGAGTGAGACAGGGTTGCCCACTCTCTCCCCTGCTCTTCATATTAGCATTAGAGACATTATTAACACGAATTAGGTGGAATTCAGATATAAAGGGATTAACAGTTAAGAAAGAGGAATATAAATTGCAAGCATTTGCGGACGACATTATTTTCTTCATTGAAGAACCAAAAGACGGGACCAAAATTGATGAGTGAATTAGAGAAATTTGGAGCAGTAGCTGGACTTAAAATAAACAAAACAAACAAACAAACCAAATTAATGACCAAAAACCTAACAGAAAAACAGAAAATAGAACTGGAAGAAATAATGCATATACAAGTGACAAAGAAAGTGAAATACTTAGGAATTTGGCTAACCCCACACTATAAGACACTTAAAGAAAACAATTATGATAAACTGATACACCAGGTAAAGAAAGATTTAGAATCGTGGGGGAAACTTCAAATCTCACTACTAGGCCAAATTGCTACTATTAAAATGAACATTCTCCCTAAATTCTTGTTCCTATTCCAAACGATCCCAATTAAATTACATAAAAAGTTTTTTGAAGAACTCAGTAGAATAACCCTGAAATTTATTTGGCAAGGGAAAAAACCCAGAATAAATGTAAAAGCAATGCAGGATATGAAGAGCAGGGGAGGGTTAGCATTTCCAAACTGGGAGTTATATCATATGGCCACCTCGTTAGTTTGGTTGAAGGATTGGGTGAATTTAACCAATAAAAGAATACTATTTCTAGAAGGCCACGATTTACAAAGGGGGTGGCACGCTTTTCTATGGGACGTAGGGAAAACCAGTCAAAAATATTTCCATAAGACATTTAATTAGAGACGCACTATTAACAATTTGGAGGAAAATAAGGAAAAAACATTATACAAAAGTACCAGTATGGATTTCAACAATGGAGGCAATGATTCACCCAAACAATTTGGAGCTTACCAAAATGATTAAATACAAAGACTTATTAGACCCACAAGGAAATTTGAAACCGAGGCTGGATCTTCAGGAGCAAGGACATAAAATTGATCAATAGGTTTACCTTCAGATTCAAAGCAGGTACAAACAAGACAAAAAAGAATTCGGAATTAATAACAAACTGCAACAATTAGATAAACTTTTATTAGGATCAAATAAAAAAAAACATAACCAAATTTTATAACTACTTATTAGAAACAGAACTAGAAGAAGAAATTGTAAAAGGAAATATGATTGCTTGGAGTAAGAACGTAGGGCGCAGCATCACATTAGCGGAATGGGAGAAAGTTTGGAGCAGAAACAATAAGATTACCAAATCGGCAGCATACAAGGAAAATCTTTATAAAATGTTTTATAGATGACATCTCCCCCCTTCGAGGTTAGCGAAGATGCACCCCAACATGAGTCCGCATTGCTGGAAGTGTAGGAAAAAAGAAGGAACCTTTTTCCATATGTGGTGGTCTTGTGCAGAAACCCAAAAGTATTGGAAGAAAATCAAAACTTGGTTGGAAGAAATCACCAAAGAGCAGATCGAATACAAACCAGAGTCCTTCCTACTAGGGATTTTTGATAAGCAAATTTCCAAAAAAGCCAAATACATAACAATACACATTTTAACAGCGGCCAGATTAGCCTTCGCTCAACAATGGAAACAATATCAAATTCCATCAGAAGAAATGATTATTGAAAAAATCTCAAAATGCGCAGAAATGGATAAATTGACTTTGGCGCTAAAAAACAAAGACACTTCACTATACTACGATAGCTGGAATTGTTGGTATAATTGGATTGACCAAAGATAAATTATATATCATAAGGCATAAAAGAAAAGTATCAACCCATAATAACGAGGTAGCGATATAAGTTAAAAACAGGTGTGGTTATATGACACGTTAAGGTTATGAAAACAAAAGAAGATCTTGCAAACTGTTAAAATAAGAATACTTTCTATCTTGTAACCGCTTTCTTTCTTTCTTCCCCCTTTCTTTTTCTTTCTTTTCTCAAAATTCTTTCCCTCTCTTCCTCTTCTCTCTTCTTTCTTTTTCTTTCTTTTGCTTATTTGTGTATGTATTGTGACTGGTTTTAATTGTAAAAATTAATAAACTATATTTATTAAAAAAACTGCATTTTGAACAAACAGCCTTATTTTTATTAGTGTTATAATTATATTATTATAGCTCTAAAAACCTTTAGAAATTAACAGGACAATAAGACATGTACATTCATTTTGACACTTTAACTGTTTACATAAAATTCAGTTTAACTCTTTATATATGTAGTATATATTCATACACTAGCTTGATACCCATACTTTGCTACGAAACTATGTGGTTGGGCTTAGTTTTTGGGGAGGAAAATAAGGGGGGGGGAAACTGCCTCTGCCTACCAGCATCCATAGGTATTCGTCTGGCTAGCATCCTGTCAGTATGTGAGAGAGTTGAGGGCTGTTTGGAAAGTGAAACAATGTTTGCTGTGTGAGCAAGAGGAGACAGAAAGGAGTCTGGGTGTGGCTTAGCTCAGCTAAAGCTGCTTGCTACTGTGAAACTAAAACTGAAACTCCTCTCCTCTGCTTGTGTTTTGCATTTGGAACAGATTTGTTTTCAGGTGGAGAGGGAGAGTAGAACTCCTTAGCATCAGAGCGTGTTAATAATAATATACAAAATACTAATGCTCTGATGGTCATTTTGAAAAATCCTTTCTTAGTGAGCACCTAGAAGCCAAGAGGAACATACATGCCAAATTTCAGATTTGTAGGCTTTACGGTTCTGGAGATTTTGTGATGATGCCTGAGTGGTATTTTGTTTTTTTATATATAGATATAAAATTGTACCAAAATAAGAGTGTATACACAAACAAAAACTGTATAAGACATCACCATAGAATGGAAAGTGAACTGCAGTTGCTTTTCTATCAAAGAAAGCTGGGAAGGCACAGCAACAGCAAACTCTCCAGTGCGTTGACATGGTTAGCTTACTGTCCAGACTGAATACCTCACAAGTGTCTTAATAGAATATTTGTAGCTCAAGGTTGAACTATGGGTCCTTAGTGTTCTTTGAGCTTGGTTGTTTTCCTGCTGAGTGCTGATGATACTATCTAGTTTGGTAATGAAACATCTACAAGAAAACAACCAAGTTCAGAGAGCATCAAGGATCCCACAGTGTCTATGTCTGAACAGTATTTTATTAAGTCGGCTTTGAGTCAGGTCAGCTTGAGTACAGGGCAGGAACAGCTTAAATAATAAATCCAGATATGTCAGAGCTGAATATGTTTCAGAATATAATAAACAGTCTGGAATTGGGGACAGATCAATTTTTTCAACTTTCTGTTAAAAACCAAAGTGTATACTAAGGAGTGCGGTTAATGTCCACTAAAATGTAAGGAACCAGAAGGATTGCTACAAGAATTTCAGTAGATGGGGCTGCAGCCTGCAAGTCAGGTACCTCTGGATTAGCAAACCAGAATAGGTTAAGAGTAAAAATATAGAATGGAATATGGAAAATAAATTGTTTATGTAGTTTCAATTGGATAAGTTATAAGGGTGAATAAATTAATTTTTCATGGTATCAAATTGATACATAACTGATTTTAAAGTACAATACAATATTCTTAAGCCTCACTGCCTAATTAAGATATTTTAAAATGTCTTTTATTATTTAGGATCTGAGTAGCATGGAACAATGATCTGTGTTTAATGAATAGATGATTGAAATCTTGCTTAGAATATCTGGCCACTTGACTTAACTGTTCTGTGATATTCCAATTTTGTTTCTTCTTAATACCAGGGTAATTCTGCTTTTTTACTTTTCCACAAAAGACGCAGAGTGTATTCAGGGCATCAATATCAGGTTCAGAGTATATTTCCAAAGAGAATGAATGCAGGTCATCAGAATTTTGCTTGTTTGTGTATGTAATTAAATGCATTTTTACCTGTTTCAGCCTCCAGCATTACTACGTTCACTGGAGAGGCCAATGTCTGTCCACGCTGCTCCAAGAAAGTCTATTTTGGTGAGTTTTGTGAAGATCTGTTTGCATTGGACCTGAACTATCTTTATCTCACAAGTACAATGGATCTCACAATTCCGTGAAAGAAATACACTTTATCTGGAAATGGTAGCTTTTTTAAAATGGAGTTAATCTAATTTTATTGTGAAAATACAAAGTATTTTTTTATATGTACATCTGAGAAATTTAAGGATCATTACTGCTCTCTGAGATGTATCATAGCAATACAACATTCCAGCCACATTCACATAGTTACTTGTCCTAATGCCATCCCACCCCAGCCTGTCTCAGATCTGGTATAAAATCATGCTGTTCTAAATCATGCTTGCCCCCAAACACACTCCTACTGGACACCAGAATGGGTTAAGCTGTCGTGCTATCCAAACACAAACAGTTCTAAAAGTTATGATTTGTGGTTTCCTTTGCCATATGAATAGCTTTCTGCAATCAGCATGCAGATGGCTGTGGTTATTCCATACTGTCAAAATTGACTCACAAGTCTGCTTGCAACTTGAAAAGATGTGTCTGTTTAGGTATGATTGGATTGTGTGGGAAGCTGAAAGAAAAGAATTTTACGTGAGTAGTTTGCAGCCTGAGAAACTTGCAATCCCAAGGTCAGATGCTGAAGATCTTTGAAAGGTGCAGACCATTTTCCCAAAATAAAATGCTTAACCTGGATTGATGGACAGTGGGGAACCCGGGGAAGGAAAGGTTTTTTTTAACGATGCTACGTTTCATGCCAAAACCTTAGAACTGGCTTTGTTTTTTCTGTGCTTATATTGATCTGTCAGTAAAGTTTTATTCTTGGTAACAAAAAGATATCCCAGGAATTTCTTTTGTTGTACATGTCAATGGGGCAGTTGACATTTAGGCCCCCACAACAGAGGCTTTAGCCACACACATAAAATTTATACAAAACAAACAACACATCTCAATAAGGACAGTGATTCATTCAGGGTTTGTTGGGGTATTTTCTATGAAAGGTCTTGAGGAGTTTAGATGCCCAGCATGTTTAGCACCCACCTATTCAGACTGTTCATGGGGGAAATGTTTCCAGGCAATGAGGTATTGGACCCTCCCTCTATGTTTCCTGGAATCCAGAATTTCTTTAATTTCAAAATGGTGCTCTCCTTTGATTAAAGTCTCAGGTGCTGGGAATACAAAGTTTCAGGTTTCAATAAGCTGCAGTGAAATAGAGGGTGAATACATTTAAGATTCTTAGGCAACTCCAGTTGTATAATAACTGGGTTAATTACTTCAACAATTGGGAATGGGCCCATATATTTAGGAACCAGTTTCTTTGATTGTTGGGTGAACTGTAAGTACTTCATAAAGAGATAAACTATATCACCTGAGAGGTAAACTATATCACTTACTTTAAAATCTTTTGGCTTCACATATTTTTTGTCAGCTTGTTCCTTATCTGCCTGACATGCCTCTTGCAGTGCCTTATGGACTACTGGCCAAGTGTTCTGCAGTTGTGCTATCTATTCTGCTAAGGAGGGTACATGTGGTTTCTCTTGAGGCAGCTCTGGCATAGCTACAAAGTCTTGGCCAGGGGCCACCTTAAATGGGATGAATCCTGTGCTACTGTGCACATAATTATTATATGCTATCTCTACAAGGCAAAAGTTAGTTCTCTCACATGCCTCATTAGTTTGGGTGTGATGGGAGAAGCTTAAGCCCTGGGCAGTTCCTAACAGCTTCAAAAATTCCAGCCACAACTGCTATGTAAATTGCACTCCTCTATCTGAAATAATGTGTGCAGGCACACCGTGCAACCTATACACATGTTGTACGAAAAGTTCAGCTAGCATCTTTCCGGAAGGAGTCTTGGGGCAGGGAACAAAGTGCACTTGTTTTGAAAAAAGATCAGTAATAACCCAAATAATAGTGTTCCCCCCACTTTCAGGCAATTCCACAATAAAGTCTGTAGATATTTCTCTCCACGGTGCCTGGGGGCTGGCCACAGTCTGTAAAAGCCCTTCCCCGGTGGCCTCTTCATCACTGCACAAATTGGACAGCTGGCCACATAGCTTTCAGTGTCTTTCTTCAAGGAGGGCCACAAAAACTGCCTCTTAACCAAATGCAGGATTTTTACAAATCCAAAATGTCCTGCTGACTTAGAATCACCTTTTGAAATGGTGCTGCTCAAGCTTGAAGGCACATACAATTTGGCTCCGACCCAAGCCATCCATCGTGCATGGTGCCGTCATTTTTATGAGATAGTATGCCGTTCATCAACCTTTAGTGCTTCTTTAAGTTTCTCACACAGTTCATTTGGAAACTGAGGCTCCTTCTTCTCCTGAACTCTAGTGATTACTGGGTCTGCTAGCTGCTTCAAGGTGAAAACAGGTCGGACCACTTCGGCTTTAATACTGTTGTATTGGGGCAACCTAGACAAAGCATCCCCCATAAATTTTCCCTCCTGGTATATAATGCAGGGTGAAATTGAACTGATTAAAATATTGAGTCCAATGGATTTGTTTAGGGAATAACTTGTACTGAATTTTCAGGGCTTGTAGATTTTTATGGTCAGTCCATAAAAATCAAATGGGGTCTTTGCCCCTTCCAGGAAATGCTGCCAAGTAAGTAGAGCCCAATGCACTGCATATGCCTCCTTCCCCCATATCAGCCACCTCTGTTCAGTCTCAGTAAATTTATTAGAGGTGTATGTGCATGGCTGTAGCAACCCCTGGACATTCTTTTGCAATAACACCGCCCCCATGGCTACATCACTTTGCATTGGCCTGAATTACAAATGGAGTGGCTGAGTTGGGGTGCTTCAGTCATTTGAGGTTTTTGAACACTGCTTGGCACTCCATGGTCCACTTAAGTGGCTGGTTTGACTTCAACTTCCCCTCACCCTAAAAATTGGTGATTGGTAATGTGATCTTTGCAAATGAAGGGATGAACTGCCGATAGAAATGGGCAAAACCCAGGAAACTGCAATTGCCTCCTAGTACAGGGAGGGGCCCACTCTAATACTGCCTTCACTTTTGCTGGGTCCATTTCCACTCCTTCATTTGATATGTGATAACCCAGTTAATCGATCTTATCTTGGTGAAATTCACACTTGGAAACTTTGCGTGCAGTTCAGCAGCTTGGAGCTTTTTAAGGACCACTCGTACCAATTTCACATGTTCCTCCATAATTTCAGTATATATTAAAATGTCATCAAATACCTTCTACAGATAATCATGTAGCACTTCATTGATCAGTTGCATGAACATTGCAGAGGCCCCCTGTAGACCGAAAGGGAGCACCCAGAATTGGAAACATCCCAGAGCAGTTTTCCATTCATTGCCCTCCTTGATCTGAATCTGGTAGTAAGCTTCCCACAAGTCTAACTTAGTGAAGATCTTTCCTTTGGCTAAATGTGCCAACATGCCCTTCATCAGGGGCAGTGGGTAGACATTTTCTATGCATACTGTGTTAAGCTCTCTATAAACAACACATAGACAAAGAGTTCCTATCTTCTCCCAGAACAATACCAGGGCCGCTAATATCGTGGCCTTGCTGGTTGAATAAACCCACATTTTAAGTTCTTGTCTATGAAGGTGCAAAGCTCTCCTAGCTCATCGAGTAAAGTTTAGGCTTCGGGAGTTTAGCCCCAGGAAGGATTTGATACTGCAGTCTGTGGGGCAATGGGGCTGTCAGCGTTCCAGAAAAACAAACTGAAACACCAAAACTCTGAGACAGGCATTTTCTCAAAGTTCCATTTTATTAGAGTTGTCATAGTGGCACATCTGGGAAAACCTGAATCTGATAGTTCTGGGTTTTCCCTCAATAATTGAAAATCAAAAACCCATCCCCTGCACCCCTCAGTCCATCACATGGCCCAATCACCATCCATCCCAACTTGAGACATTCCTCCAACCACTCCTCAACCAGATAACATGACCTTGACTGCAAAGAAGAATGCTATTATGTCTAACTACATCCACTCTATGAAATCCCCCCTCCCAGTTTCCCAGGCACAGGAATGTGGCAGTGTGGAAACTTCTGGTGCTAACATGGCTTCCAAGCAGGGGTGGGATTCAAATTTCTTAACAACCAGTTCTATGGGCGTCGCCTAATTTGTAGGTGTGGCTTGGTGGTCTTGTGACTGGCTGTCCATGGCTTGCTTGACTGGGCATGGCTTGGTGGTCATGTGACTGGCTGGGCATGGCTTGTATGTAAATATTATAAATATTTATGTAAATAATTGATTTTTTTTTAATTAAAAAGAGCAACTTTACCCAAAAGCAGGCAGGCAGATTGAGTTGCTCACAGAATCACAGATTTACTTAGAGATCTATCTTTCTGCCATCGGCTACCTGAGTCTGTCACATAAAATTTGCTTGCAAGCAAACTCAGGTTCAGTTCTGCTTTTAGATTAGCTAGAAAGCAAGAAATGCAATGATTTCCTGCTTTCTACCTAATCTAAATCTCCCGGCACACCAGAATAGCTGATGGTTGGGGGGGGGGGAAAGGAAAAATAGCAATTTAGCAGGCAAGTTTGATGGCATGCATGCCACGTAAGGAGTGAGTGGGTGGGGCGGGGCCAGCCAGTGGCACGATTTGCCGGTTCACTGGCAGGTAGAATCCCACCCCTGGTGAAAGTGCATTTTGCACATGAGTGTGCTGCCCGGACAGCTGACAAGCGCTGTGCGCGGGTACTCAGTGTTTCAAATGCCTCTTCTTTCCTGCTTTTTCAACCTCAGCTGTGCCACGCAAAGCAGCTGAGGTTGAAAAAGCAGGAAATAAAGGACAGCCAAGAGCCCGGGCGAGCTGGTGGGCCAAACAGAGCAGCAGACACCGAACTGGTTTGGAGCATCGCCGCCACATTTGGAGCTGCCACCGCCGCATTTGGAGCTGCTGCTGCGTTTGGACCTGCCGCTACCACGTTTGGACCTGCCGTCACGTTTGGAGCTGTCACCACCACGTTTGGAGCATCGCTGCTGCATTTGGAGCTGCCACCGCCGCGTTTGGAGCATCACTGCTGCATTTGGAGCTGCCAC